GAAAGAAGACAGTGAACAAAGATAAGAATATTTTCAATTTACCAGGTTTACAACTGTTACAAAACCCACCAAGTCCACAAATCAAACTTGGCTACAAGAGTCAAAATTGTTTGAAAGCACTAACTCTGCTATGTTCCAAGTCAAACAAATCAATGATGCCCTTCTAATTTATAAAGGCATTCCTACTGCATCATATAATTTTAACCTAGTTATAAATTTAACATGTTTCTCAAAATACAGACTACTGGGCCCCACCCCAAATGTGCTGAATCAGAACTGCAGGGGCAACGCCAGGGAATCTGCACTTTGAATAACTCCCCCAGGTAATCTTCATGCACACTAATGCTGGAGAACCACTACTTACTTGCCTTGTGAGATTTATAAAAAGCTTTTGTATTTGAGGAACTAAAATCTCCTTGTTTGGGACCTTTGTAAAACTAAATGACATTACAAATTAATATTTCAAAAAGACTCAGGTAATATATATGTTTGGCAGAAAAACAAGTGCATTAAAAAATTACAGCAGAAATTAAAAGAAACTTATAGCATAGGCCATTTTAACACAAGATACAAGACACCCTTAATCATTTCAAAGACCAACAGGTCTTTGAAAACAAAATTCCTTACTTAAGAATGATCCAATCCACAATATTAAAAATATAGTATTTCAAATATGTTCAAATACATTTTACTGAGCTGTTAAGTAAATCAGAGTATGAACTGTTTACATTATACCAAATATAAGCAATAGAGTATATGTATAAAGTTAAACCCAAACAAATCTATTTATATTACACTATTAAATTTATTCTGATCAGAAACTGATTTTTCATAAACTTACATAACTTTCACAAACTTACATAAAAACATGTATAATGGAAAGAGCAATGGAGCAAAACCAAGAAGCCACCTAGAGTCCAGTTCTGGCTAATCTAGCTGTTAGCTATGTGACTGTGGGGCCTAGACAAATCAGTTTACCTAACTGGGGTGGGGGGGGAGGGACTACCGATTTTACTCATCTCACAGGATTATTTATTGTGGACTCAAATGAGGTAGCACATGTTATATTCTGAAATACTGTAAAGCACTTTACAGACCAAAAGCATTATTACTGAGAGCAAAATCTGAGAGATACTATCTTTAGGAGCTTGCTGTAAAACAATGAAGAACATAAAAATTACCTTTCAGGTTCAATTAGATATTGGACATTAATTGTGTATTCTGTAAATTACCAGTAAAATTCACATAAATTCACTTCAGTTACCTGTGTCCCCATTTATAACAGATCTATTTCATGTGTAAAGATAGAAATGAAATTAGATGGGCCACCAATTGATAATTGTCAGTATTGGTCACTGAGTATATCATTCTCTGTACTTTCTCATGACTGGCAATTTCCATAATAAAACTTTTTTTAACAAAGCAACAACGTACATGCGTGTTTATGTAAAACACTTGTAAAAGCTAAAAAAGAAATCTTTTTAAAAGTTTTTTCTCTTTCCAAATATTTTTCCCATAACTACTCTGTATCATTTGCTTTTGACGTTACCACAGATTCTATATATTCCAAAACAAACTACTCACATTACCCTTTTATATATCATGACACCGACTAGATAATAACATTCTCCTCCAACTGGGCAAGTAAAATCTTACCCAAGCTGCAAAAATTCAATTCTTAGGTTTTTGCTCCCTGATCTTTACTCCTTTATGTTTTTGCTCATTTATTACAAAATTCAGGAATTAAAAAGTGAAAACAAACCAATTTCAGCTGCATGTAAATGCAAAAAAGTAAGAAAGAAAGGGGCAAATACTCTTTTTGTTGTTGTTAGTACATAAAAGACTGACAATTGTAACTGGCCATTCGTCTTAAAACCTGTTGACCTATACAACTCAGTTCACAAGGTAAGAGACTGTTTCATCCAAAATTAAGTTAACATGTCTGTCAGACAAAGGAATTTGGTAAATTTAACCCCCAAATTGAAGATTCTATCAAATTATGCATAACAATGTATAATTACATATATCAACCTAATTGCTCAACTAATGTCCTTAACATGAGGCCATGTTCCACAGACTGAAAAAACATAAGCCACTCTTCATCTCAAATTTTGTGTTCAATTTTAACTTAATGAAATATCTGTAGCTGAACAGCTTATGGTTTACAGTAGTCTATGAAGAAACTGCAAGTGTTCAAATTAAACCTTAAATACAGATAGAAGGGCAATAATATCTTGTGGTTGATGATGAAAACCATTTGGTAATATCCACACACTCAGTCATTCATTACATGAGCTAAATTTTTATTTCTTCATATTACATCTGTAGTAATAATTATCAAAAAGTATCCTGTGCCTAAAGAGACAGTGTACCTTCAATTTTTGATCTGGGGGGGGGGAAGGGGGGAGCAAGTGGGCAGGGAAGGGAATCTCACCAATTCAACTGTCACTACATCATTTATTTTCTGAGCATTAAAAACTCCATTTATTTTTGTATGAGATGCATTTGAAAGGAGCCATATATAGAAACCACTTTTCCCAACATGGTCTTTAATAACTTTGTAAGAACTCCTGCTGGAAGTCCTCATTTATATCATTTAAAAACAAGTAATTGTAAAACTTGCAGTAAAACCATAAAAGGCAAGCTGTTGCAAGATGAAAAACAAAGAAGAATTACTAACTTTACTCAAGGTTAATAAATTTACAGATTTTTTGCATCTTCACTGTAAAATCTGTTAATAGAATATACGCCGTATTAAAAAAAAAACCAAAACACTTACAAAACCACTATCATAACGGTAGGTACCTTTATTTGGTGGCAATAGCTCATTTTAAAGATCTATTTACAATGCAGCTATTTCCTTATTTCTTTTCCTAAGTAGGTCCAGACTATCATTACTCCTATTATCACAAGCGCAAATCAAAACTAGTTTCTCACCTCATATCTCAGAATCCTATATTAAGTCACAAGCGTCAATTAAAAAGCAGTATTTCCCATAGAATGGCAGGAACCCCCATTAACACACAAAAAATTAAAGACAATTTCACCTTAACATCTAAATGGAGATATCATAATGATAGCCACAACAAAAACCAAGAAGGCGTACTCTGAATTTTCACCATTTTAATAAAAAAAAAAAAATCACGAAATTTTAAATTAAAGGTGGCGCTCTGTCCTCAACTCACCCATTGTGACTCACTTTTGCAGACTATATGGTAGGAAATAACAGTTACTTTTCAAAGATCTTTGCAGTTACACCCAAACCAAAATCAGGACAGAGATCCACCCTTAATTACAGCAATTTAACTGTCTCGTCCAAAGCAAGGTAGAAACTAAAACGTCCCCCTGAAATCATAGCTAAGTGAGCCCATTTCATGTACTAGTTTTCAAAGATTCCCTTTAAGAAAAACGTTTCTATCTACTTCAAATTTGAACTCACCAGGGTGGAAAAGAAAAAGGTGGGGGCGGGGGACCCAAATGAAACGCACCAGTAAAAAGCAGATTCTCCTCCAATCCCTCTAATACCCCCAATCCGCCTCCGCCACACGCAAGGACAGGGAGTCGGAGGAAGGCTAGCGGCAGGGCAAGCGGTGAAGGCCCTTTATTGACTCACGTGGGCCACCATCCAAAGGGTTACACACCCTCTGCTTGAGGACAGCCTCATACAAAGCAGATCCTTAAAAGTACTTCTTATTATAAAATACACCCACGTTGAGCAAGAGCTTTATTTTAAAATAAGACTGTCCTCAGGTGGGGGAGGTTAAACACAACAAAGGCTTCCATGTTGAAAGACAATCCAGATATATGCATATACTTACACACATATGGGGAAAAAATCCATATAACTAATTCATCGTGAACAGCAATCGATACTAACAGGAGCCATTAGATTATTAATAAACCCAGAAAAGTAGCATGCATAACAGCCAAAGGTGACTGCTGTGCTCTAACCCCAGGGAAAGGTAAAAATTTGCGTGTGGTATAGGGTCCAGCCCTCCCCAGATTTAGAGACCCTCTTTGACTTCCCTTAGCACGGCCCTCCCACCCCCAGCTCGGCACCAAGCACCGTTGCACCGCACAGGATGCGAGCTCTCCCAGCGCTGCGAGTCCCGCAGAAAACTGGTGAATGAAATCCGCACGGACACCAACCTGGCTAGTGACCGCGGCGCAGAACCAGGGGTCGCTAACTAGCTTAGCCAAAGATTCTCCTGCAGGATGGGATAAAGGGAGCACACCCCCACCCCCGCAACTGGAATGCGGTTCTTTCTTACTGACCCTTTCCAAAGGGGGAGTGGAGGACGCAGGGCTTGTGGGTTGGTGTTTGTTTTTCCTTTTAAACTAAGTCCAAAAAACCGAATCGGAAGCAACCGTCAACATCCTGGGGGGGCCAGAAGACGCCAGGAGAAAAGCGAGGCTGCTCCTTAGCTCCCCGCGGAATCACCGTCCGGTGTGACAACGCATCAATCAACCAGCCCCGGCCGGGGGACGAGTAGGGGACCCCGCTCTCAGCTCGCGGAGCGCCAGTGGGGCCGAAGCTGGGGATTAGAGGGTGACCCTCCTGGGGCTTGGGGAAAGAGTGCAGGGCACCGCTGCCCTCAAGGTCACCACACGCCGGGGCGGGGGCGGCCGGCAGCAAGATGGGCTATGGCGCGGCCGAGGCGGCTGAGAAAAGCCAAAGAGCTGCGGGTGTAGACACGAAGCCCCACCGAGCCCCGTCCCTCGAGCTCTGGGCGGGGACTCCCGGCCGGTGCCGGCGCTGAGGCGCACGCCGAGGAACCCGCTCACCTTTATGATCTCCCGGGGCGAGCGCGGCAGGAGACAACCTGCGAGGGGCGCCCCGAACGCCCCCGCCAACTTGTCCCGATTGCGCCGCAGTCCACTGAACACCCAGCTGTCAAGACCCCAGCCGCGACGCCCCGACCTCGACGTTCCGCCCGGCCTCCCCCGCAGGTGACCTGACCCGCCGCCACCGCCGCGGGCGGGCGGCAGCCGCCACTCACCTCGCCCGGCAACAGGAACCATTTTCCGAGGGGGGAAGGAAGGGGAGGCTGCAGGAGGGTCGGGGGGTGGGGGTGAGAGCGGTGAGGGGCAGCGGGAAGCACGGAGAGTGAGGCTCGGTCCTCCGCTCGTCCGTAGCCGACTCGCAGGGCTCGGGGCACCACGCGGAGGTGCGGCTGCACCTCGAGGATGAGGCGGCCGCGGAGCCCAGAGGCTCGGCGTCCACCAGCCGGGGCTCCCTACTCACGCTGCACTGCGAGGAGGCGGCGGCGGAGGAGGAGGCGGCGCCCAGCCCGGCCCCCGCCCAGAGCCCGGCAGCCGCCGAGTGGCCGCCCGCGTCCCCGCAGGACCCGCCTCCTCGGCTCCGCAGAGCCGCACACAGGGCGCGCCGCGCTCAGCACGGGCAGCTCCGCCAGCCTCACGCCGCCGTCCGCAACAGTAGGGGCGGGCGGGGTGCAGCCCCCTTCGTGAGCACCGCAGCCCAGTCCGCTCCAGGCGGGGTCGTGGCCACCGGAGAGCGGACG